AAACGGAAATGGCACCGAGTCCATCAAAGGCAGAGAGATTCCCTTTGCCTGGTGCCGCAACGACGCCACGTGTAATCTCCCGCCCCTCCGCGTTGTTGTGTTTGGCCCCTGCGAGATAAGGATTTTCTTCTTCAACCGAGCGTACAGAAGCCTCTTTTTTTTTTCCAAAACCCTTCCTCCTCGATTCGAGTGAAATCCACATTTTTTGCCTGCAATCACCACCCAATGTCTGTGTTTTAGCCGCGATACGAGAGCCGAGCTCCAGATCCAGTCAAAAGGAGTGGGACTTTTTTTTTTTGGGGGGGGGGGGCAAAAGTGCTCGTGCGCATGTCATAGTCACGCGGTGCAACGCATAGGCACTATAGCGCTCGCGAATTCATATATGCGAGCCCCTTGTCGAGGTGCCGTGAAAGCTCTGTACGGAGCAACCTGTGTACGCGGTAAGCTCTTTACTCCAACAGTCACGACCCGCGCTCCGTAAGCCGCAAAAGTCTCTTACTGTTTTGGCATCGCGTCGATTTGATTATTCCAAGCACTGGCGGTGCTTTTTTGTGTCCGTATACATGCCTTCGTGCACATATATGTATTGCTTATGACTTTCGTGATATGATTTTGAAAATAAATACATTTACGTACAAGTGCATGCTGTATACTTTGTTAGCTGCGATGATGAGCGATAACATGTACCTGTAGAGTAAGGAAACATTCAAATCGAAGGAAAGTTATTCTTGCACAGAGTGTCACGCTTTAGGGTACCGGTACGGTGATTGGTACTATATAGTATCGGTGAAAAGGGAAGTTGCAAGTGGAGAAGGGGGGGGGTAGGTAAGGGCTGGTTTCGGCGCAACCCTGAGATAATATAATAGCCCCGCGGTACGGGGGAGGGTCGTCTGAGTGCGCGGAACCGACGACTCGTGGGAAGATTTGATCGGTTGATTGGCTGTATTTCGCCGAGGGGGCGATTTTTCGGCGGAAATAAAAGCCAGACGACGAGCGGTTGTGCGTGCTACGAGTACATGTATATATACGCACGCTTCGAAATGAGTTTTGTGGAAGGAAAAACCGCGGAAATTCGATAAACCCTCGGATGCTGATGGTCGGCGCCTCGACGAACAAGTCTCGGTTGGGGAAGGTTTTCTTTCACTTTTACGTCAACATTTTTTACTTAGCTTCGTCACCCATTTGTGAATCTTTAGAGGTCGGAAGAAGGGGTTTTCGAGCCAATAAAGACTATCGTCCCCCGCATACCTTTGGGAACATCGGAAATGGCATTTTTCGTAACTTTCCACTGGAAAACTAAATTTGCCGTCCAATACGAAATCATGTCATTAAAAAAAAAAAAAAAAAAAAAACTCAAACAATGAACTCTCACG